ACTCAGAAAAAAATAAATAATATTCACAATAAATGGTAACGAACACACCAGACGACTAAATTGAAACATAAAATGACAAGAAATATGTATTCTAGTTATTGTGAAAAAAGATATGATAAATGTTGATCTTGGTAATAAGTAAGCTGTGTGCACTATTTATTGGTCTTGCTAATGTTATTGAGCGCTCTAATTTTTCTTTTTTAGGAATCAGATTGAAAACTAAAAACCTATCAGGATTTGTCAGAGCCTGATTGAAATGTTTCATGCCATAGTTAGTCCATGAGATATTCAGAGAGCGGAGATTACAAGAAATATTATTCCAAAAGGGATCTTGTGAGTCTGAGGTTTAGTGTTTCGTAATAGATCAGATTTTGAGCAATTTCAGAACGAACATCAGGAGGGATGGTTCTTATGAAATTTCAAAGGCAGCGGGCAGGCTCCCAATCAATTTTGATTATTTCAGAGGATTAAAAGGTACAAGCTTAGAGCAGTTTACTGAAAAAAATTGATCAAGTAAGATATTGAATTCAGGACAAGTACAAATTTGATCAAAATTGGCCCTTCAGAAATGATAGAGTTATATTGTAGTAAATGTAAAATTTTTCAACCCAAAAATATGGGTTAGCTTGGAGAATCTACAGAATTTTTACTGTTATTGAGGATATTTGTGGGTCCTATTAAATTAAAATTCTCATGACAATTATAATTAAATCCTCTCCTTTGAGAACAGATTAAAAAGGTCAAGGGTTCTCTGCCAGCGCCACTGTGAGCCCTTCACATTCGACAAGGTTGGAGATTTTTTTAGTAAAAAAGAGGTAAATGACATCCCCTTTCCCGAATGGTTCTTTGATTTTTAGATAAGTTGAGGATTTAAAACACAAAAACAATATCAGACACACAGAATGGCTCTACAATAGTGCCAATTACTAATGGTCCGATCACAACCCAAGCAATCACTGTGTTCGCTGAAAGGTTTTTTTACTGATTCATTTCCTCTCTGCTTCACATGCAATTACATCCTTTGGACTAGCAACATGGATGTGAACTGAATGATACTAACGATTCAGATGATTTTTGAATGAAATTTTTGTCTCAAAATAATATGAACCATAAAATTCACATTCTCAAAGGTGGACTAGCATTGACTAAAGTGGCTTGCTCCAAGAGCTCACAACATCCTTCTAAAGACACACCATACAGTATGGAATCGTTTGAGAGATACATTAAGCTGAAAGGCAAGAAATGGTTGACAGAAGTTTAAAGACATTTCACTTAACTTTAAGTGACCAATAGAGGGAGAAAAAAACCAAAAATAGGGCAATTTCGAATAAAACCGTTATTTTTTAGTTTCACTCAGTTCAAACAAAGGGGGGAAGAACTTCCACGGAAAATTCTGAGCATCCAGCACTAAACAACAAAATAAGAAGTGTGAAGAACTAAAAATAATGGTACAGAAATAACTGAAGTATTACAAGCCAAAAATAATGATAAGGTAGGAGAAGTGGGCAATGTTTGCAACCGCAGTTTATCGGGTGAGTAAAATGACTAAGAGAACAGTCAGAATTAAAGGAAACAAAGAAAAGGAAAGAAACAATTAAAGTATATACATGTAGAATGGATGTAAAATATTTGTACACGGGTACATAGGTATGTAAAACTTGAATATTATACAAACATGAGAATGTTTTTATCTGAAAACAAACGCATTCCATGTATTGTAATAAAACTAAAATATATCACAATAATTTGGTAATATCTAACGTAAAAAAAAGAAATAAGTAAATAGATAAATATAAGATCAACTTAAGTCAACTTAAGTAGGAATTCTCTAAGTATATTATTGATTGCTGCTTATAATTTCTTCAGGATTTTTTCTTCTTTTCTTTTTTTTGCCAGAGAACAGTAACAATTATGAATAATAAAAGAATCAATAACTAAACTTGAGTTGGAAAGATCTTCAGGTGAGCTCAATTTTAAGGTAAAATTGAGTTGTTCCAATGAAAATACAGCTAAAGAGATAGTTAAAGGAACACAAGTTAACAAGCTGAAGAACTGCGAAAAGGGATCAAATTTATACCTGATAAAAAATTTTAAGTTTGTCTGTTAACTTGGGTATGAGAGACTGCTCTGAGAAAGCGGCATTTTCTTGCATCAAACAACCACAGCGAGGTAGAAGATGAACAGAGAAAACTGGAGTTTGGCAGAGATAGAATAAATCTAAAAATGATCACATTCAAGAAAAAATCTTTCTGCGTATCTCAGGTGAAATTTTAGAGAGGAGAATTAATTTTCACATTTTGATGATAATTTGATTTTTTTCCGCAGGAAGCTCGCTAAAATTATCTTAAAAGAATAGACGAGGAGAGAGATGAAGAAAAGCAGCAAAAATAATGTTGATAACAGCAACAGTAAAGATGATGATCTTCCGAAACTGTGAATTCTTGATTTCTTATCCTCTCGCTCTTTGCCGAATAGGAGACCTAATAGACTGTACTGATTCTTTGCTGAGCTCTCAAATGAAAGTACCATACAAAATATGGTTGCTTACTTATGAAGATCCAGTTGAGAATACATACAACAAAGGATATTATGATGACAAGGAGGGAGCCTCTAATCACTTTCCCGATAAATTAATCTCACAGACAAAAAGAAAGAGGAGGTACATTAGGAGATTAGAAAAAATTAAAAATTGCAGGATTTTTAAAAATAAAAGTCTCAAAAAATTCTTCAATGTCTGAAATTATGGACACCGATAAAGAAGTTCATAAAAAGCTCAAAAAAGCTCGAGGAAATCAATCAAAACATCAGTGCACGAAATATACATAGTAAAAATAGAAATAATGATAGGAGGATATTGGGGAACCTCACTTTAAGATTGACTAATTTGACAAAAAGGAAAAAAAAAGTTTTTCAAAAAATTGTTACTCTTGGAATAACAATAAAGACTTTTTACATAACCTACAAGAAAAACAAACGAAAATATGGCAACAGTAAACTTACACACAAACCAAATACTTAGAAAATTGGGGAGAATGTGTTGGGATATTAAACTTAAAAAAAAAGAAGGAGAAAAAAAATAAACAAACCTGAAACAAAGAAGGATATATGTGGATGAAAAAAAGGGGAGACCCCACTAACAAAAAACATGAACACCCCAAAAAGATTCTGATACAATCACCCAAAAAAGCTAGGTGTGCCTAGTGGCTCTCCCAAATGTGATTGTTAAGTCCTAAAAATAAATATAAATACAAACGTATCTACAAAAGCAAGTTACCTAAAATTAAGAATACCTGATAGAAAATGAAATCAACGAATTAAACAGGAGTGAAAAGCGATCACGCCAACAGAGTTAAACTGCCCTTTGAAATTACAGAAATCATTGCATCCATGTTGCTTGATGAGGGGGGTAATGGATCATTATTAGCAAAGGTGAATTAAATGGTCAATACTACACAAGGCAAATAAAAGCCACAGAGAAAATATAATGACAGAATATGAAGGGACACTTCTTCAGTGGTTAGGACAAAAGAAATTATTTCTGGTTCTGTAGCTTGTAAGAGTTTAGAAAAGAGGAGAATAGGAGCAAATACGAGATGTGGGACGATACTCTGACACATAGGGGGAAAAATGATTACAACGGCATAAATTATCCAGGGTGATAGATGGATGCATGACATAGTTAGAAAGGAGATAAAGAAAATAGAAGCAGAAACCAAAGAAAAAAAGGAAAACGGGAGTAATTCAGAATTACGTATTGATGGTTTGACTTAGATAAATGGCTTCATTCTAAACAAAGTTATTGCTTGCAGCTGACTACACTGAAATTCTGATCTCCAAATTTGAGTCCATTTGGAGTTACACTAGAGGTTTTCTTGGAAAATTATTTACACTCTAATATCTGAGAAGGCATGACAAAAATTGCAAAAGCCATTGCAGTTTTGTACGATGAATGAAAAAGGGATGGCACTCATCAAAAGAAATGACTATTAAAAAGGGATACATGATGGACTGGACACACTTTCTCTGAGGGTGCACGAGGGGAGCATGTAGTTTAAAGACGAATACTCATAATGATAGTATTAATTAATGTAAGGTGCGATTGGTGAACAACACAAGAATTTAGATATATAGTGATTTAAGTATCTTCATGACAGGCTTTCACCAAAATAAGAGGCTTCCAACAGATAAAATCTTATAGCAGATTTAAAAATGAGCAAAAAGGATACTTATTTCTTTGTCAGAGGAATAAAATTGAATACATTTGTAAATAAAAGTGTATACATAGTACTGAGTAGAAAAATCAAAATAAAGCGCCAGTTTACTTTTTCTTGGAAGAGTGTAAAATTTTTGTAGAAACGGGGAACTTGGATGCAGAATCAGCCACTTTTTAGTGATGAGGCAATTCCTAAGATCATGGGAAAATATACTTTGAGAATCCCTTCACAAAAGCGTATCGTTTCATTTAGAATAAAAACTGAAAAAGGGTGAGGAGGCTGCATAAATAATAAAACAACCACAAAATGCTTCAAAGAGTAGTGATAAACATGCGTTGAATGCAAACACATTCTACGTTCACATTACATTCAAGGGCACAACACTTCTAAAATGAGAAATCTAAAAAAGTGAAACATTTCCAGTATTTCAAGGTATAATTCTGGATTTTTCTTCACCTTCCAGTACCTTTAATTATCTCTCATCCATAAGACTACATGAAATTTTTCTTTTTTTTTCTTTTTATTTTCCATTTGTAATTTTTTTTTGCTTTTTCTTTTTTTTTTTTCATTATGATTTTTGTTTAACATCTTAAAACACTAATAAAACAAACAACAAAAAAGAGGAAGAGAGAAAAACAAATTTAAAAAAAGGTTACTTGCTGCGTAAAAGTAAAAAAAAGAAAAAGAAAAAAAATATTAATAAATAAAACCAAGGAGGGGAAAGAAATGAAATAGGTATAATATCTAAAGAAATAAAGATTTCTAAAACTGGAAGATTTGAGATCATTTCAATAAGACTATTGGGATTTCTTAAACACGTCAATTTTTTTCTTGTTTTAGGGAAAAAAGTGTACTCATCAAAATTTAAAATTTACTTTAAAATTGAATTAGTAAATTCTTAAAAGGTTCATTTTGGAGGGAAAAAGGGAAGAATGAAAACCAAAACACTCCGTCTACCTTCTATACAATATATAGAGTATTTAGAATTAAAACATGGTGGTTGTTTTTAGCTAGAGTTACAACATACCCTTCGGAGGTAATTTTTAGCCCACAACAGCGTGACACCTGAAAAATAACAAAAACAAAAAAAAATGTAGCTGTGAAGACAATGTTTCAACGTCGAATTAGAAGATCAGAGCAATTATTATTTCTTTTCATCAATATAAAAGGATCAGACATTTCGTGCAGAAAAAGATAAATGAGGAAAAAGTATATTGCAATTTTGTGTTTAGCCAATTTTAACCCCTTGAAAATGCAGAAACTAGTAAGAGATGTTCAGAATCCAAAGCTCGGAAACTAACATGATTTCGGAAGCAAGCCTGTTGAGTCTTTAATTATTTGAGGGGCATGATAGGCAATTATCACTTTTTTTGACCAAAAAATCATACTGATCATATGATAAATATCCTCCCCCAGTCAAAACAATCTACACTGTGATTCAGAAGTTCTGCACCACCTCAATAACCCCTAGGGTTCTTGTCCTTTTTAAGTAGAATCCCCATAAAATTTTGAAGTGGTCCAAAAAGTCTTTTACTTTGACCAAGGAGCACTCACAAAATACTGTCTTTATCTAAATTTGTTTAAAAGTTGCAGCGGTGATACATGCCTAATGCTAGTAGTGTGTGACTTTAGAATCACCCTGTTTATGACCAGCTGCAAATTCTTGCCAGATTGGCAAATGCGAATTCTGCGATAAATATTAAACTACGGGGACTTTAGAGTAATGGAAACATCTAGTATAATTGATACTTGAGTCAGTGACAGTTGCAATTGTTGAGTAGCAAATTAGTTTCAAAGCCTGGTAATCAAAGCGTATGAGTTATTAAATACATAATAAATTTTTTAATTTTGTAAAAAAAGAAGAAAAAAAAGGAATTTTTTTGAATGAAATTTCAACTAATTCCACTTGACATTATTCAAAACATTTCCGCTCTTTACTTTTCAAACAAATTTATGGTAACGATGTATGGTGAGGAAAGAAAGAAAGGAGGCCCATGCTCAGGCTTTAGTCTCCACAGAAGGATTTGAGAGATGATCGATCAAAGGTGTCCTTGAAGGCAGGCGATATACACTTGCTTCCATTCATAAATAAGTAGAGATGCAAAATTTCACGAAACTTTAAGAAATTAAACTTTTTCAAAATTCAGCGATGGACTCTGTATGCCAATTTCACTTATCAGCAAAATATTTCATATGAAACGTAGAATTTTATTCCATGAATTTTGCATCTCTGAATGTACACGTGCAGCAAAATATTCGACCTCTCAAAACAGTGAGAGGTGGCACGTCATCCTTTAAAGGGTGTCTAACAGTTAAGAAAAACCAAAATTGGGGACTTTCAGGGACTTTTAGGAAAGTTTTTTCAAGAAAAACGGAGACTTTTTTCCCGAAATAGGAAGAGAAAGGGATCTAGTTAGAGCATTAAAAGGCGTATTTTGTACGAATAATTTTACAAGTTATGTTGAACCCATGAAAACATGCGAAAAATCAAACAACACTTCAGTTTTTTATTCCTGGTTGTACTGCACCGCTGCGGCTGGCGGAAAAATTCGAAAATGCCGGTGTTGAGGACAATTTTTGTTATTTATTGGGGACCTACACAAAAAAATTGGGAGCTTTCGGAGATATCATGAACATTCTTCCAAAATCGGGGATAATCGGGGACATTCGGGACTTTAAAAGACCGGCAGACACCCTGCCTCAGTAAGAATTAAAGTACTTTTAGGAAGAGCTAAGATTGATTGATGAATCTTACCTTAACATAGGGGCACTCAAATTCACACGTAACATTACCATCTCGGGTGAAGACAGCAATGTGAAAACGGTTGCCGTGGGAGTCACCAACTAAAATATCACCGGCATCAGAAATATCGATGCCATTGGGAAAACTAGTAATACTTTCACAGCCTATTCTACGCAGGAATATACCAGCCTCATTGAACACAACGACGCAATGACCTTTGAAGTCACAAACAAAATATTCTCGACCTGAAAAAAAAAAAAAGAAAAAAAATGATTTCACAAAAATTTGTATGCAGAACACTGTCATACAATTCTATTTCTTCAAGACCCTGAGAGCAAATAAGCAGTTTTACTTTCATTTTGACTCTTCAAAAATCCAATTAAAAACAATAATGGGAATCCCTTGGGTTAGGAAATTGATTTAGCTACAAATAGCACCTTCACAAGGACAGATAAATAAATGAGAAAAAATTAACTGACTCTGCCAGTAATTTCACACTGTAACAGGACGTCGAAATAATTCAATACATCTTATAAATTCTGACTTTCTACTAAAGTATGTAGTTCGGGCCAGGAATGTTCTATCGGTTTTCAGTAAGCAATCGAATCAGTTTCTTGGGAGAATAATTACAAAAAGAGCGCCCTTACCAATAGCTAACGTCTCATCAGTTTTTCTTGCAAGGCAACCCAAAGGACAGACAATATACTAGGAAACAATGCTTCGATTTGAATTTCGTCTACTTTCAACGGAAGCAGTCTTATCAAAGTGAATGAATATTTCAAACAGGAAGTAACCAACAGCTTGCCGACAAGGTTTCATGTTAACACTCTTAGTTAATTAGTGTATTTTCCGAAGGAATATATTTTTTTTTCTTTAAATGGGAAGTGGGGATGAATCTTTAAAAAGATATTATCAAAAGCACTGAAAGAATGTAATTATTCCAGATATATGATCAACTGAAGAATTGAGTGTCATTTTTTGGAATAAAAAGTAGATATTAGTCATTTTAAGGGAATTTGAGTCATTTGAGTGGAACAGAACAAAGCAGACTGGGAGATGCTGAAGTTCGACACTTTCATAAGGCTGCTAAATTTCAAGGAAATCCAAGGGAGACCAAAAAACGAGCTGCTTTGCATTAAGCTTTTCAGTTGTGTTATCATAAGTTTAGTTCTCAATGTTGGAAACCGGAGAACGCCTAACTTGAAAAACCAGTAGAAGTGAATTTTGGATCAAGATTAAATAAAGTTTACTCCTCATCAACTCTTTCCATTTCCATTTCAGAATAATTTCACCCAAAAACTAAGTATGGTTTGTGATAATACAGGAAACGGATCTTACCGTTTATAGCGATATCTGATGGCTCTCGCATATGTTCACTGCAATCAAACCAGTGTATAAGATTCCCATGTTCTGAGATGATAAATACAGTCGGAGAGACGCTGTCTACTGCTATAATGTTACCCTGAGCCGAGACTGCCAATCCAGCAACAATATCGATATACCTGCAGAGAAAAGGAGCAACATCTATAAGTATTTGAGAGCAGATAGTGCTTAAACTTGTTAACTGCCACTAAGGCATGCAAGGACCAAGGTACACTCTACTACAGGTATGGACAAACGGGGTGCCGAAGTGGCAGCGCTCAGAAAATCGGCGATCGAGTGACGTATGAAGTCGTACCGTCCATTTGCCGCGTATGTCTTTGCAGTCGTACTCTCGATGCTGTCAAATCTACGCATTTTGACGACTTTCTAAAATTCCATTTGTCCATACCTGTAGTAGAGTGTACCTTGTGCAAGGACCGACAGTGGCTGGTCCCGTAAGGCCATGAAAACAGACAAAGAAAGCGGCAGGATAACTTAGAGAACTATCAGAGACAACATTGAGACTAATGTAATGCACTCCTTAGGATATCGAAGTAACGTTCAACTATGTAGTTAGCCAACAGATAGGGCTAAAGGACCTCTGAAAGCTGTCAAACTGGGGCTTTTATTAGTTCCCACTGAGCAGCGTTGGTCTTGTGAGACCAATAGTTAAAAATGCCTCTGCAGTCACAGTGTTAAAATCATTATAACAATTTTTCCCCCTGTTTTGATCAGCATCGGAATCAGGTCATTTACTGACTCTTTTCAATTTCCTTTGCAAAGACATGTTAGTAATTAATTTCTTACTTGAAAGGAAAAGAAAATTATTATCTGTCAAATATCTTTGCAGTTAAGGGACTAATAAATTCATGATGCGGCACTTTTGTTGCGCTTAGGTTGTCCCTATAAGTAAAATAAACTTCAACTTTGGTCACAAAAGCCAAAAAATAACTTTGTTTTCAGTAAAAACGAAAAAAAAAAAAAAAAAAAAAAATTATTGCGTTCTGTTTTACTTTATCAGTTTCTTCCCAATTTGAATCATAATCATGATCGTTATCAAATTAAAAAATCCATAATTGCACAGGTCTAAAATAAAAAAATAAATAAATGAATACTTCCAACTAAGTATACGAATTGATTCAGTTAGTGCTCACCGGATAGCAATCCTTTTGATGAAGTGACCACCTTTGGAGAAAATCTGCATTCGAGATCGCTCATTCCCACGGTCGCAGACCACAAATTTACCAGAATTTTTCATGACAGCCACTTTTCTAGGATACCACAACTGGCCCTCTTCTTTGCCAGGCACTCCGAAGTGAAATTTAAAATTGCCTTCTTTGTCAAAGACCTAACAGTAAAATGTACACATAGATTAGTTAATTACATAGCTCAATATCATGATTGGTAGGACAAAAAGTATAAAGAAAAAATATAATTGCCGTGCCGACCAGGAATTAAAGCAACCACCCTAATTACTCAAAGACTAAACACTAATATCTGCATATAATCAAGAAGGTAATCAAGAAGGTATCAACAGGTAAAGCTACTGACCAGACCTAACAGGACCATGAGGTGTAAAATATTAGCTCATTTACTTAATTACACATCCGAAATAAATTTTTAATGCCATGGTTTTAAAGAACGTCAAATTTTTAATTTGATTATCAGAGGATAACCCTTACAATCTTGAAAATAAAGAAAGTCCAATTTTAATTTATTTTTGTGAGTTAGAGTTTTTTAATTTAAATTTTCTTCATTACCATTATTTAGCTCACAGTTTTTGACCTCAATTTCCTTCTGGTTTCATTTTGTTTAGTTTCCGTTACTTTCTGTTTATTACCTTACAATCTTATTAATAATTACAATCATTGGATAAAAATAGAAAAATATCCAAAGAGGTAATCAAGAATTTGATCATACCTGTATGCGGTGGTTGTTGGTGTCTGCGACAACGATGTCCTCTTCTACACCTAAACAAAATCCGTGTGGCGAGCTAAACTGACCTTTGCCGGGACCCAACTGACCAAACTTCGATCGAATTTGCATAGAGGACAGTTTTGCATTTGAATTGGCTCTGATTTGCTGGGCAANCTGCCAGTAATTTCACACTGTAACAGGACGTCGAAATAATTCAATACATCTTATAAATTCTGACTTTCTACTAAAGTATGTAGTTCGGGCCAGGAATGTTCTATCGGTTTTCAGTAAGCAATCGAATCAGTTTCTTGGGAGAATAATTACAAAAAGAGCGCCCTTACCAATAGCTAACGTCTCATCAGTTTTTCTTGCAAGGCAACCCAAAGGACAGACAATATACTAGGAAACAATGCTTCGATTTGAATTTCGTCTACTTTCAACGGAAGCAGTCTTATCAAAGTGAATGAATATTTCAAACAGGAAGTAACCAACAGCTTGCCGACAAGGTTTCATGTTAACACTCTTAGTTAATTAGTGTATTTTCCGAAGGAATATATTTTTTTTTCTTTAAATGGGAAGTGGGGATGAATCTTTAAAAAGATATTATCAAAAGCACTGAAAGAATGTAATTATTCCAGATATATGATCAACTGAAGAATTGAGTGTCCTTTTTGGGAATAAAATGTAGATATTAGTCATTTTAGGGGAATTTGATTCATTTGGGTGGAACAGAACAAAGCAGACTGGAAAATGCTGAAGTTCCACACTTTCATAAGGCTGCTAAATTTCAAGGAAATCCGAGAGAGACCAAAAAACGAGGTGCTTTGTATCAAGCTTTTCAGTTGTGTTATCATAAGTTTAGTTCTCAATGTTGGAAACCGGTAGAATTGAATTTTTGAGAAAAATCAAGATTCATTACAGTTTACTCCTCATCAACTCTTTCCATTTCCATTTCAGAATAATTTCACCCAAAAACTAAGTATGGTTGGTGATAATACAGGAAACGAATCTTACCGTTTATAGCGATATCTGATGGCTCTCGCATATGTTCACTGCAATCAAACCAGTGTATAAGATTCCCATGTTCTGAGATGATAAATACAGTTGGAGAGACACTGTCTACTGCTATAATGTTACCCTGAGCCGAAACTGCCAATCCAGCAACAATATCGATATACCTGCAGGGAAAAGGAGCAATATCTATAAGTATTTGAGAGCAGATACTGCTTAAACTTGTTAACTGCCACTTAGGCATGCAAGGACCGACAGTGGCTGGTCCCATAAGGCCATGAAAACAGACAAAGAAAGCGGCAGGATAACTTAGAGAACTACCTGAGGTGGAAACTACATTGAGACTAATGTAATGCACTCCTTGGGATATTGAAGTAACGTTCAACTATGTAGTTAGCCAACAGATAGAGCTAAAGGACCTCTAACAGCTGTCAAACTAGGGCTTTTATTAGTTCCCACTGAGCAGCGTTGGTCTTGTGAGACCAAGAGTTAAAAATGCCTCTGCAGTCACAGTGTTAAAATCATTAAAACAGTTTTTCCCCCTGTTTTGATCAGCATCGGGATTCGGTCATTAACTGACTCTTTTCAATTTCCTTTGCAAAGACATTTTAGTAATTAATTTCTTACTTGAAAGGAAAAGAAAATTATTTGCTGTCAATTATCTTTGCAGTTAAGGGATTAATAAATTCACGACGCGGCACTTTGGTTGCGCTTAGGTTGTCCCTTTAAGTTAAAAACACCTCAACTTTGGTCACGAAAGCCAAAAAACAACTTTGTTTTTGGTAAAAACAAAAAAAAAAAANAAAAAAAAAAAAAAAAAAAAAAAAAAAAAAAAAAAAAAAAAAATTATCGCGCTCTGTTTTACTTTATCAGTTTCTTCCCAATTTTAATCAAAATCGTGATCGTTATCAAATTAAAAATCCATAAATCCATAATTGCACAGGTCTAAAATAAAGAAATAAATAAATGAATACTTCCGACTAAGTATACGAATTGATTAATTAAGTGCTCACCGGATAGCAATCCTTTTGATGAAGTGACCACCTTTGGAGAAAATCTGCATTCGAGATCGCTCATTCCCACGGTCGCAGACCACAAATTTACCAGAATTTTTCATGACAGCCACTTTTCTAGGATACCACAACTGGCCCTCTTCTTTACCAGGCACTCCGAAGTGAAACTTAAAATTGCCTTCTTTGTCAAAGACCTAAAAGTAAAATGTACACATAGATTAGTTAATTACATAGCTCATTATCATGATTGGTAGGACAAAAAGTAAAAAGAAAAAATATAATTGCTGTGCCGGCCGGAAATTAAAGCGACCACCCCAAATACTCAAAGACTAAACACTAATATTTGCACATTATCAAGCAGGTCCTGACAGGTAAAGCTACTGACCACGTCTGACAAGACCATGAGGTGTAAAATATTAGCTCATTTACTTAATTACACATCCGAAATAAATTTTTAATGCCATGGTTTTGAGGAATGTCAAATTTTTAATTTGATTGTCAGAGGATAACCCTTACAATCTTGAAAATAATGAAAGTCCAATTTTAATTTATTTTTGTGAGTTAGAGTTTTTTAATTTCAACTTTCTTCATTGTCATTATTTAGCTCACAGTTTTTGACCTCGATTTCCTTTTGGTTTCATTTTGTTTAGTTTCCGTTACTTTCTGTTTATTACCTTACAATCTTATTAATAATTACAATCATTGGATAAAAATAAACAAATATCCAAAGAGGTATTCAAGAAATTGATCATACCTGTATGCGGTGGTTGTTGGTGTCTGCGACAACGATGTCCTCTTCTACACCTAAACAAAATCCGTGTGGCGAGCTAAACTGACCTTTGCCGGGCCCCAACTGACCAAATTTCGATCGAATTTGCATAGAGGACAGTTTTGCATTTGAATTGGCCCTGATTTGCTGGGCAAAAACACCCATTGGAGGAGGAATTTCAGCCACGATTTCTGAGAGGAAATGAAGAAGATTCAATCATTACTGATCAACAAATGAACGGACACTCCTCTCACACTATTCAGAGAGTTCTCAAAAAAATTAGACCCATACGTCATTTTCAATGAAAGTCAGAGACGTATTTCAATACAGAGGTGGGAAATTTACAAGATCATTTCTTTGGCATAGTATTCTGTTTTTGTTAGGATATGGTAAAAAAAGATTGGCAGACCTTAAGCAAGTGCACCCTGCTATCTTCAGACAATATGCAGATTTATAAAATTTAAGTTATGACGGAAATTGTTTGGTAAAATCTGTAAAACATCCCCCCCCNCCCGGAGAACAAAACTGAACCCTCTCTAGGAGATCTACTCATGGTTGAATGACGATTTTAAGACAGAAATCAGATTTTGACTGTTAAACTGTGAAACCATTCATCACTATTGCACTCACGAAATTTCTGTTCTTAGGTGCTTCTTTTTGAAAAAGCAAACTACTTGACATTTTGCTGCAATTTTTTGGAGAATACTCTTGAAAAAGCGAAGAAAAATCTCCCAAAATTATGCGCAATACAAAGCAGTGTTCCACATCAAGTGTATCCGTACATTCGGTACGTGGTGCAGGCACCTTGATCATGGTTTCCTTACTTTCTTCATTTCCAAATTCCCTGACATTCCTTTCACTTTTTTTTCCTTTCCCTGACTCAAATTTTTCAATTCCTGCAACTTGCAGACATAAATTCTGTTTCATGGTTTGCCTCTATAGCTACGTTGACTTAAGCCGCAGGATGGACAAAAATTCTACGACTAGAGATTTGAATTAAGAAATGAGGCACTCAGCGATTGTCCACGCTACATGAATGGTGCCAGCTGAAGTTGCCAGGCTGACACACTTCTCGGAAAATTTCCTGACTTTTAACATGTATTCCCTTTCTTTTTCTGGTCCCTACGGAATGCCTGACTTTCCAGACGGCAGGAAATCCTGCCTGATATATTATCTTTCTGGAGAGTACAATAGCACACGTACCTTTGCCATTTGGAGTTAGAGCTGATGGAGGGAAGTTGCTTCCATTATTCATTGTAGGATTAGAAAGGGTTAGAGAAGAGAGATTGTCCAATAGTGGGGATGCAGCTCGATTCATTGGCAGAAGAGCGTTTCCGGGCGGAGCTCCATTGGCCGGTCCGTTTGGCATATCTGCAACAAATTTACGGTGAACAAAGTCTTACTTAGCCTGCAATAAATNCGCCGGCACGCCGGGTCAAAAGTGTGGCCACCGCCGGACGGAGAAAATGGGCGCCATTTTGAGATGGGCCAAGCGGCGCGCGTTTAAATGGGAGCCCAAAATACGGACTTTTGGACTCGTATTTCGTGGGTTAATATTGCTCAAAAAAATCGGGGAAAATTCCTGTGAACTCTGTGCACTCTCTAGTTTCCAAAAATGCAAGAATTACGAATTGCTGAACAAGCTCATTGAACCCTCTCTAGGAGCTCTACTCATGGTCAAAAGACGATTTTAAGACAGAAAGCAGATTTTGACTGTTAAACTACGAAACCATTCATCTCTATTGCACTCTCAAAATTTCTGTTCTTAGGTGCTTCTTTTTGAAAAAGCAAACTACTTGACATTTCGCTGCATTTTTTTGGGAGAATACTCTTGAAAGAGCGAAGAAAAATCTCCCAAAATTATGCGCAAAACAAAGCAGTGTTCCACATTAAGTATCCGTACATTCTGTACATGGTGCAGGCACCTTGATCATGGTTTTCTTAGTTTCTTCATTTCCAAATTCCCTGACATTCCTTTCACTTTTTTTTCCTTTTCCTTGACTCAAATTTATTGAATTCCTTTGACTTGCAGACATAAATTCTGTTTCATGGTTTGCCTCTATAGCTTTGTTGACTTAAGCTGGAGGTTGGACAAAAATTCTACGACTAGAGATTTGAATTAAGAAATGAGGCACTCAGCGATTGTCCACGCTACATGAATGGTGCCAGCTGAAGTTGCCAGGCTGACATACTTCTCAAAAAATTTCCTGACTTTTAACATAGATTTCCTTTCTTTTTCTAGTCCCTACGGAATCCCTGACTTTCCAGACGGCAGGAAACCCTGCCTGATATATTATCTTCCTGAAGAGAACAATGGCACACGTACCTTTGCCATTTGGAGTTAAAGCTGATGGAGGGAAGTTGCTTCCATTATTCATTGTAGGATTAGAAAGAGTTAGAGAAGAGAGATTGTCCAAAAGTGGGGATGCAGCTCGATTCATTGGCAGAAGAGCGTTTCCGGGCGGAGCTCCATTGGCTGGTCCGTTTGGCATATCTGCAACAAATTTACGGTGAACAAAGTTTTACTTAGCCTGCAATGAATCGTTATTATGACAGAACAATGCATTTCTAGGAAAGAGGCAAGGAGAAAGGCAGCAGATCTAAATTCTTGATATGCGTATGGAATTTTTTTTCCCTGCATTATTTTGTTCAATGAAAAACAATAACTCATAGCAAAATAAGCACAGCAGTTACAAAAAAGAAAAAAAAATTGCACATTTTCTCAAGCTGCAGTTTTGATCACAGACTTGCTTTCAGATAGAAATTCAAAGTATAATACAGTTATGATAGGTGTAAAAAAATTAATATGTTAAATCAAAAAAAGTAAAATTGAAAAAGATCAGTGAGAAAATTGAGTTTTTAAATAAAATTGGTACACTGGAACTGCAAAACCACTTAGCAAAAAAGATTATGTTCTTCTAATGGCAGAAAGTGTAAATTAATGATAAAATAGACCAAAGAGAACCAAATGACACTAAACTTTACCCGCCTAAAGAATGAGGCTTAGGAGTGAGCTAAATGGATTAGGTACAACATCGAAAACCAATTTCAGGATGCATTTAAATAAAATAATTAGCAACAGCAGCACATGAATAATGAAAGAACTCACCTTGATCGTTAAAAGCAACTGAACCAAGTTTTGCTAAAGCTTGAAGATTATTGATTGCATTGGATGTTGACGAGATATCACCGGAGAAGAGGTCGACCAAGTTAAAACCAGACGTGGGACTCGGGTTGGGGCTAGGATGGACGGGAACTGAGACAGGCACGATGCTCGGAGGTGACGGTGACTTTTCTGTGCCCGCAGCAAGAGTGGCCAGCTGCGTGAGGTTGTACTCTTGGATGGAGGTGAGACTGAGGGGGGCCGGAGGTGGTGGCACGGAGGTTGAGAAATTAATTTCCGAATCGAACGACGATGGCATCGAGACAGGGCTCGAGGCAACCGAAGAGGAGGGCACAGAGATGGAACCGTTGATAAGACCGTTGGTCATTGGAGGGGGCATTGATGTTGGGGGAGGTGTTGGGTGAAGCGGCAGAGAGATCGGTGCCGTAGGAGCCGGGGGAGGAGGTGGCGGATGATACTCAGGGTGTTTCAAGTAGCCAAATGCAGCCTGTGAACAGAAAAAATTAAGATGTGATGATACAAGGAAAAACTAGTGATCAAGAATTCAGTGAACAGGATTTCTACTGAAATTTCAATTCAGGTTTTCCTGATAGTTTCCTGATTCTTCCAGGGTTGCCACAGAATTTAGAGAATGAAATTCCCTGAAATTTCCCTGACACATTTTGGTGAAATTCCCTGACAATTGAAGATGTGACGGATGGTTGAGAAGGCATATTTTGAAGGCAAAATTTGTTGTTTGAAACCTCAAACCCATTCTATAAGGTAAATGAAGGTGATTTAACAAATTTTCTCTGACATTTTCATCATTTTCATCATATTCCCTAACATATCCCGGTTTTCCTTGACTTTTTAAATTCCCTGACATTTCTCGGTTTTTCCTGACTGTGGCAACCCTGTTCTTCAGATGAAATTTCCGAATTTTAACCCTAATAAATCGACACTCATTTGATTATACAAACCAACATATTTCATGAATTGAATCAAATTTTCAGTCATGAAATGAATGAAGTTGAAAAATGCTTGACCCACTCAAAATTACCAGATCCTAGATAGATTTTCTTGATTTTTTCCGATTTTTACCGACAACGGTGATATAGTAGCAGATCAATAGAAAGACTGTTCTTTTTAAAGCTAAGACTCTTCATATTGTGTGGGTACTCAAAATGCTTTAGCTTTGTATGATTTATTAGATATAACAAAAAAATTTAAATTTTTACACTATACAAAATGAATATTTAGAACTCACCTTGGCAGCTTCTTTGAATTGATTCATATCAGTAACAAACTCAAGCTCAACTTTGATCTTGGGTTTTGGGACGGTGCTGATTAGGCGCAAAAGATGAGAAACTATGAGTGGTTTCAGTGCTAGAATTTCTGACGAGTTTCCTTTCTCTAGAAGTGTATCTGCAAATTTGTTAGTTCTATCCAGATGTTCCATTGATTTCTCCACACTGAAAAAATAGCGAATTTCATTTTGATTGTACATACAAAAATAGTGAAAAATACATTTGAGAGAAGTATTAAGTGGTTACGTTAGGTTAGTGCGCAGTATCATTGATCCTTACTTCTACTGTCCTGGTGAGAATGTTTGATCCATTATCAGGAAAGACTTTGAAGACATTTTCTTGATATTTCTTACCTTACCAATATTATAAAATGTAAACAGAATACCACAATAACTAGCTCTGATGCAGTTGATACTACGGAGAGATAAATAGGTATTAACACTTTCTCTGCTGACATGTTTTTTCAAAATTTTTCCTGCCCGACCAGGAAACATTTAAGAAAATGGAAGAGTGCATTATGCAAACGTTTTAAACCACGGTTGTAGCCGATCACTGCAACCCTAGCACTTTCTATTGGTTAGAAAGCCCATTGGCCCAAAGCTCACATGGGTTAAAAACCCATTTAAGTACCCTTTTTTCTCCAGAAATTTACGATGACGACTTTTGAGCGGGTCTGTACAAACAATTTAATAGATTTGCAAGAAATATTTCACATTAATTGTAGTTTTACAATGAAGGTCGCAATTTGAGTGGCCTCCGCATTTTGAGAGCCCATTTCAAGGCCTTTAATTTTTGCACCCGACTGATCGCGACCCGCCTAGTCGCATGGTTCAGAAGTTTTCACAAAGCAAAACTCACCAAAATGATCGGAGCTGCATACTTCATGAAATTGTGGTGCAGAAGATGCAAAAAAGCCTGACATTGTGCAGATTTTAGCATATCATTTTGTTTCATATTAAGGATTACTCGTGAAGTGTTTTTTAAAGAATTTCATAGGGGCACAAAATATTAAAATCTATTTGCGTTTTTAAAATTTGGACACTTCTGGTGCATAGTATGAATAAATAGCTCCATGAATGAACTGAATGTACTACTTACTTATGACAAGTTTCCATTATCACAAGCTCTTGTTTTTTGTGAACAGATTCTAGTTCAGCGAGTGCCTCATCTTTCAACTGTTCCAAAACAGCTTTGTAGCTCTGCATATGAAACAAAAAAAAGTGGAATTAAAAAGCACATTCACTGAACATTCAATCCCTAACCTAAAGATGTGGAGGAAACGTGCATTTAACTCTTTATTTCAAAGCTCCCGAGATCCAAGTGTCCAAAAGCGTCATGCTCCATTGTGGAACGCCAGAATTGCATTCACAAAAGTAAGGCGAGGGCGGGGAACTTGAATTAATTAGAGCGAAATAATCATTTGAGAACATACTAATGATCTAAAAATTATGATCTTCCGCTAAAATGCTGAAAACTGGAAATTGGAGGATACCAAGTATCCTCCAAAGTAGAGTGTTAGTTTTAGAGTTGAAATTCTTTCATTCAACAAGAAAAGGAAGGAACAAAAATCCTCAGAGTAAGATTCTATTTTTGGGATAAAGTCCAAAGATAAAATGGGAAGAAATATTTTAATTTTTAAAAGAAAAAAAAATCATAAAAATTAACTAAATTTTTCAGCTACCTGATATGTCTCTAAAAGAAGACCTTTTGCAGTGTCGTGCATAGTTTCCAGATCTCCAAGAGCCGTTTCTAACTTGGTGGATGTCTCTTCGCAGAGCTCCATTTTCGTTTTGCCTTCGGTCACCAACGATGCAATATCATTTTTTGATTTCTTTGCTGATTCTGCTATGCCATCGTACTTGTGTTCTGGAGCTTTGTGGAGAGTGATGACACACTCCGTACAGATAAGTTTCTAGGACCAAATGGAGGAGGATGTTAATTTTTTTTTTTAAAAAACAAGAGTTTTAAGTAACAAAGAAACATAATTTAACAAAGGCTTAACCAAGATGGCAAGGAATACCAGTTCAACCGGTTCATAGCTTTCCTCCTTTTTAAATAGGCTTTCCTCATTTGGAGACTTCTAATTTTACCGAATTTCTCTAATTTCAACTTTTTTTAGCAGGCAAAAATTCGATGTAAAAACAAATTCTCAAAATTGTGTTTACTAAATATTTTAGGGTGCAATTTAATTGTAGGTACTTAGGAGGAAATAGTTTTGATTCATCCATAAAAGCGATTATATGGACAAGGGAATTAAAGGAACATACTTTGTTCTGAAATGGTACACCGACCCCGGTTCCCTTAATGCAAAATGTAGTCCAAATATGCCTCTGTGCATAAAACTACTTACTTGTTTGTTTTTGGAAAATTCATTTTGTTTCCTTTCACGGAACACTTCCAAATTGTTTCTTAAAGTCAAAAAATCCAGTATGTCACAAAAAAATATACAGTAAATTTGCATTCATAATATAAGTTAGTTTTTAATTTTTTCTATGAAAGGGGGGTATCTGAACTCAAGAATTGCTTTTCACTCTAGATGAGATACTGGGGACATTTCATTGTCAACCTCCTGTGGTGCAGTGGTTTTCAGTGCTGGTTCTATAACCAGGAGGTCTCGGGTTCAATTCCCGGATAGGCAGCCCAAGGTTGATGGCCTCAAACAACAGTTGCCCCTGGCTGGTTGTATGATAGTGACTGAGGATGGTGGGGTTCTAACTGAAAGCGAGAATGGAGATGTTGCATGTGTGAGTAATTTGCAATTTGACTATTGATTCTTTTGTTGAAGTTCGCGAGAAACACGATGGTGCCACTGGTTTCCTCTGAAATCAACTTCCAAGCTCAAAAAAAGCTCTCAAAGTGAGGCCAAAATGGAGGGGATATCCCATGCTATCCCAGTGGCGTGCGGTCCGGATAAGCAAGGCAAGCAGTGCTTGCCCAAACATTTCAGGAGAAAGAAAGAAATTATACCTAAGAAAATTCGGTAAATTATCGTTAAATGTAAGTAGCAAAATGTATAAGGTAAGTAAATCGAGGTAGAAACGGCAGCGGATATACGGGAATACTCGTGGGATTACAGGAGAGGTAGGGAAACCGAGCGGATGGAGTTGACGAAGCGCGCTGCGCGGCTCAGAGACGGGCCGATTCCAATCCTATACGCTAGCTTGCTGAGGCCCGAGCCGAGAGGCGAACCGCGGCGATGATTCACGACGGGAGGGGAGTGCGGTACGAAACGGGGCCGAGCGATTTGATGCGCGATCGCAGCTCGCTTCTCTTGGCCACCTCTCACAGCGGGCAGCGCGTAGTCCGTCACCGGCAGTCTTGCTCAGGCAGTTGCCAACGCAAGGTGTCCACCGCTCCAGCCGCTCCTGCCTTCCCAGGCGGCATCCTGTTCTCTCTCCGGAGCAGACTTTTCTCATTTATTCTAAACTCGTTTCTAAATTTTAAATTTTCTATTAAATTTGTCCTCTCTCCGTAGAAGTTGAGCTCACTCCTTCCGGGACAGTCTCCGCTCATTTATTTTTAATACACCCATCTAAATTTTAAATTCGTCCTCCTTCCGTTGATGGTTGAGTTTCTCCCTCCGGAACAGGCTTCTCTAATTCAATCTAAACTCATTTCTAAATTTTAAATTTTCTGTTAAAGTCGTCCTCTCTCCGTAGAAGTTGAGCTCACTCCTTCCGGGACAGGCATCGTCGATTTATTTTTAACATACGTCTCTAAATTTTAAATTCGTCCTCCTTCCGTTGATGGTTGAGTTTTTCCCTCGGGAACAAGTTTCTCTCATTTATTCTAAACACATTCCTAAATGTTGAATATTCTTTAAAATTTTATAAACTCGACAATATGGCGTGCATTATAAAAAGTATTTTGACTTATCCATTTTCCTCAAGAAATTTTGCTGAAAAGAAAGAGATAGTCAATGCAGGTAGACCAACTCCTGCGCTGCCTGATTTAATACAACCTGGACCAAAATTTACGAGACATTTCCAGACCAATCTGTACGAAAAGTGCAGTTGGCTGGCGGGTAGCGTTATTTTAAATGCTCTCTTTTGTTGGAACTGTCTACTATTCAGCAAAGACAGAGAGAGTACCTGGACGAAAACTGGCTACACTAATCTAGGGAATTTAGTGAATGCCATCAACAGACACGAGGGTACCCTGACTCATTTACGTGCGTCTTTATGTCTCATTAATTTTGGAAAACAGCGTATCGATGTTGCGCTGGATCATCAGCTCGATGCAGAAATAACTCTGCATAATCAAAAAGTTCGCCGAAATCGAGGGATTCTCAGACGATTGATTGACGCAGTGTGTTTCCTTGCAAAGCAAGAGCTTCCATTCAGGGGGCATAATGAAAAAGAAACCTCAAACAATAGGGGTAACTATATAGAGCTTTTAAAACACACAGCAAAGTACGACCCTCTCCTCGCGGATCATTTAGAAAACTCCTTAGTATTCAAAGGCACATCCAACAGGATTCAAAACGATATCATTGAGGCTTGCGGTCTAACTACTCTAGCGGCAATTAAAGATGAAATAACTAACGTTCATTTCGTTGCTGTGATGGTCGATGAAACTACGGATGTTTCCACTAAATCGCAATTTTCCATAGTTTTACGTTACGTGCATAAAGGAGTGGCCAAAGAGAGATTTTTAGGTTATTGTGACATCAGCGAGAACAAGACTGCAGGAGCAATTGTCGAAAAAATTCGTCAATACCTGACAGAATTTGTCTGCAATGAAAAATTGGTCGCCCAAGCGTACGATGGAACAAATACCATGTCCGGCAACAAGACTGGCGTGCAAACCCAGCTTAAGGAAACGCATCCATTCGCTTTATTCGTACATTGCTATGCACATATCCTGAGTCTTGTGCTGACTAAAAGTGCTGAACTTATATCGGAATGTAAAATTTTCTTTAGCTCTGCGGGCGGCTTCGCAAGCTTTTTTTCTATGTCACCGAAGAGGATGAAATATTTGGACGAATTTTTTTGCAAGCATCTTCCCAAAGCTAGTGCCACTCGCACATGGAACTATTCCTCTCGACTTGTCAGTACGTTGTACGAATACAGGCCTCAATTCATAGACGCGTTTGAAGCTATGCTCGCTCATCCCGATGAGCTAGACGGTGATACTTTGGCCCCTGTCCACGGATTTTTAAGCTTGTTAAATGATTTTCAGTTTAATTTCCTTCTGGAAACCTTCAATAACATATTTGCTTACACCGACGTGCTTTATGATGTTTTACAACATCAGTTGTCAGACATTCTTTATTGTCGTCAGAAAATCGCCCAAGTTCAGCAGGAAATTGCAGCACTTCGTGACCGGTATGACGAAATTTATGAACACACCAAAGAATTAGTTGGAGAGCCGACCAAGAGGCTAAATACGAATTATAAACGTCTTTACAATGAAGTGATTGATACGGTCGCAAATAAAATGGAATCCCTTTTTGAGGATTATGGACAACTCAAGTTTCTAAGTCTCCTTGCCCACCAAAAATTCCAAGCATATCAATGGGCATTCCCTGATGATCTTTTCAAAAGTCTTTTGAACACTTACGGCCCATTCTTCGATGAAATTCGTCTTAAAAATGAACTAATTGTACTGTACAGTAGCGAAGAGTTCTCCGGTAAAACCGTTCCAGAGATGGCAGAAATGTTCGACGACGATGTTATGAAAATTTCCTTTCCGCAATTGGATAAGTTAGTCTCGTTAATCTATACCATTCCTGTCAGCACCGCTACCGTTGAAAGGTCGTTTTCGACCATGAATCGAGTCAAAGATTACAGCAGAAACACTACATTAGAGGAGCGGTTATCCCACTTAGCCCTCCTTTCCATCGAAAAAGACTTGGTCACTCACTTGCTGAGGAACGACCAATTTTATGAGGAAACTATCAACAACTTTTGCAAGCACCAACGTCGGCTAGAGTTCCTTTACAAATGATTTTCATTCAAATTTACTCATTACCTTTTAGTTTCAACTAATCTTTTCAACTCTAAAAAATTTAAACATTAAAAAAAATATAAAATAATCAAGAAATTTTTTCTAAAAAAATATAAAATAAATAAAAAACAAAAACAAAAAAACTAAAAAAATAATCAAAATACAAAAAAATAAAAAAAGAACAAGAAAACAAACAAAAAAAACCAGAAATGCGGGCTCTGGATCCACTTGGTGGTGAATGAGACAGTCTCAACCCTGTTTTAAACGCAGAGAGGTGGTTTTTTGTGGGCGACTTAAATAATAAGTTGAAGGATTAAACTTAGAAAAAACTTGGACACGGCGCTAACCGTGATCAGAGCAAGAGTATGGTCCCGCAATTGTCAAAAATAATAATAAAAGACCTGTAGAGAAGTGAATAAGTAAGAAAGTAAGGAATTTGGTGATAATTTCTCTACATCTGTTTCATCAGATTTTATCTCTGAAATAGAGGAAAATGGGTAAAACGGGATCTGAATTTTGAAAAATTTTCCGGGGGAGGCCCCCCGGACCCCCCGCCGTGTATGGGGGGTATTCCATACCCCCCAAACCCCCCGGAATGTAGTGAACTTTGACAGCTTGCCCTATCACCAAACCCACCGCACGCCACTGTGCTATCCTGAGAGTCTACCTCTACATCAAGAAAAACTCTCCATGCAAAGATAGGGAGCAAATACATTGACAGGGCTGCCACTTTATTTGGGGACTCTTAAACTGAAAACACAGCAACCCTGCTAATGTATTTGCTCTCTATCTTTGCATGGAGAGTTTGTCTTGATGTGGAGGTGAACTCTTAGGATAGCGTGCGATTTCCATTCCATTACGCCCTCAACTTGAGAGCTTTTTTTGAGCTTGGTAGTTGATTTCAGAGAAAATCAGTGTCACCATCTTTACGCGAACTTTTACGTAAGAATCAATAGTCAAATCGAAAATTCCTCACACATGCAACATCTCCATTACCACTAATGTCGTATTTGAAGTAGAAAAAAAAAACTTTTAAAATACCGTGGCAAGAGGGAGTGGGCAATGATTCAAACCAAGATTAAAATTAAGTGCATACCTGACAGGTGTGACAAAATGAACTGACAACTTGACTGGTGTGAACACTGCAAATGATGGGCTTGTGGATGGTTGCAAGATCGGCAGATTTCTTTAATTCCTCCAACTTGATAACACGGTGATTTTCAAAACATCGCATGAACTAAAAACAGAGAATGCAAATACAATTTTATTCTCTCTTTTTTTTTTTTTCTTTCAGTTTGAGATCTACAAGATTCGACTAATAATAAGAGATTAAATGTATACAAATACTACTATCAAAATATCTACAGACTCCAGGGAAAAAAATTCCCATCGTCCCTGACCAAAATAATCAAAATTCCCTCACTTTTCACATCAATAAGTTGTAAAAGTGGAAGTGAAAACGAAAAATTGTTGGCATTATTTTCACTGCGAAGAACAAGAACATGTGCACTTTTCTCTTCAAGTATTGATCATTCGAAATTGACGAAATTGAAATTTCTCATTGAAAATCAATTCTCCTTAGACTATTCATAGTGGAACTCAGCACTGAGACCCCAATTTAGTTATACTCAGCCCAGATGGTTATTACATTTTAAGATTTGATATTTACGAATATCCAATTTTTTACATGACCTTCCCTGACTTTAACCAGATTTCTCTGAACTGATGAAATTCCCGGAAAAGTCCCAGTTTTCTAGATCTGTAGACACCCTGCATGTTTGTCTTTGTAAATAATTTATTGATAATCAATTTGAGAGAGATCAGTAACTATTAACATCTCAGAAGTAGACAAAAAATCTGAGGGTAATGCACCAGACCAGGGTGTCTACTAAAACAGGCTGGCCAAAAATCAGTACTTTCACAGTACTTTTTCAGTGCATTTCTAGGAAATTCAGTGCCTCCTCAACAGAAAAATTCAGTTCTATTTCAGTGCCTCCAATTGACGAAATTAGAAAAATTTCAAAAATTTGAATTTCTCGCTCGAATTGCGACAAAAATGACAAAAAAGAGAAAAAAATCTGGACCTTCTTGCGGAATTTCCGAACTTTATCAGTACTTCTGGCCTCCCTTAAAAAATCAGTACTATTTCCAGACTTTCCAAACTTGTAAACGCCCTGCCAAACTTACCTCATGCGCGTTTTCGCAGTTGGGGCATAGGAAATGAGCACAATCAGAGCATCTTGCGACTGCTTTTTCTTTGGTTATGCAACTTGAACAACCAATGTCAGAGTTCTGAATAGCAGCTATATCCAACATGTTCGTCAAAACATAGTCGCAAGGCAGAGAGGAAGCTCCATTAATACTGACCTGAATTGACAGTCAAGAATGATTTACATTTATAAATTAATCACGATTAAATTACCGTGCATGCTCTCAGATAACCCACACCCTAGATTTTGAGAGGGTCGAAAAAAAAATTTCCCTTGTAACCCACATGCAACCACGGTGGTTTGATTCCCTCGTATTATCAAGTAACGCCTGATAGGTATGCAATTTCCGTGAGTTTTGCGGATAACCTGCACCCTGATTTTCAAGTGTTGAAATAGGGGGAAATAATGCCCAATTTCAACACTCAAAAATCAGGGTGTAGGTTATCTGTGGATGAATACGGTATGTTAACGGTACCTTGGCAGTTTTGTTTTGTAACTACTTCATAAATTAAAATTTATTTTTTTGACAGATAAGGCTTGCCTTACCTCAAATCACATTTCATTAATACGAGTAATGACAGTTCATTGTTGCTGCACAAAATTAAGCGTAATTTTTCTTTGCCCTCCCAAGAACATTTCCTAGAAATTTTGTATAAAAATACAACCTGAGTAAACAAAGCAGAGGTGGGCATTTTAAAACAGAGCTATCAAAATTCTTCTGATCGTATTTTTACTATCAATTGGACTGCATTTTGCAATTTGGAACTATAAATTCTGGCCCGATTTGAAAACAACGTATGTGCCATTAATATCCTTACGCACATAAGTGTTTTTTCAGAGGAGCCAGAATTAATAGTTCCAAATTGCAAAATGCAGTCCAATTTAGGTGATGAAAAAGAGTCCTATATTCTTTCTTTAAATTCAATGCGTTTACCTTTAAAACCAAAAGTACAGTTTAACATGAACACTTAATCATTATGGGTGCAATAAAAGCTGAAACCTCTATACAGCAGTTGATGATGAATTCAAAAGTGAGCTCCTGTCTTACCATAGTGATATGATTACATTCTGGGCACGCAAGAGAACGATCTTCTGATAAGTTGGCAGCATCTCCTCCACTGTTCATCAAGAGTTTGCCAATGCATGCTTCGCAGAACGTGTGGAGACACGCAAGTAACCGAGGGGCCACGTACTCATTACTGAAAGAAATACAAGAAATTATAGAAAAAAGAATACGTAGATACATGTATCTCATGAAATTTATTTTAATGACCTGTTACACCTAAGAGATACAGCTTACTATGTAGACTTGTAATTGTTACAATCATACAGAAATCACATTGAGCACATCAAAGATTTTTTAAAATCCACTCCTTACCGCACTGTAAAAATACAGTTTATATAAGCGCTGAGCTCGAATAATTTGGCAATTACTAAAATTAGTTCGGCAACACTGATCAGATACTCGGTCCACAAAGTTCTCTACCTGATAAGATAGGTCAATTGTCAAATATTCAACCAATTGAGAAGATTAATCAATGCTGTTGATTGACCAAATAATTGCCAAATAATTTTTGCCCATCTCTGGTTCATATCACACATTTTTTCAATTACCTACTGTGTCTACAAGTGCTTTCCTTGTAGCTACTGTGCAGAAAGTTTTGCTAAGTTTTCAGGATTAGCATTGGATACATGTGGGAATGTCTGTATGGTATTTGTGCAAAATCTAAGCAAAATTTATTTAAGTATTAATTAGTAAGCTTAGCACAGACCCTGTGATTTACCATTAATAAGTTCCAATTTGAAGTAGATTTTTCATTGAAGAATCACTAGCATTGAAATGCAATTAAGATCAAGCAACTGTAGTAAACTTCTTTCATGGGTATTAAAAGAACTCTGAGAATTTCAATTGTTTACACCACAAATTTTGATTAGAATAAGTAATTATCATGAAAATTTCATTTTTCAAACTACTTCCTACTGCAAAAAAAGGAGCTAAAGGCATGGTTGATGGTCAAAGGTTCTGATGTGGACAAGCACACAACCTTACATCCAAATTCTAAGATGTGTATTTATCATTATGGTTTACTTCAAGCTCTGAACCCTTGGTGGTCACAATTAATTGTCCCTGTTTGCCTTATAGCAACAATAAGCTTACAATGATGTCAACACAACAAGTAGTTCCCTCAGTGACCACTAGGACCGCAGCACTTGTCAAGCGGGTCAACACGGGCCCGGTATATGACGTCAAAGCTTGCTAAACTTTATATCCGGTCAGGCCTGACTTCCGATCAGAACATGGCAAAAAAAATTTTCAGTCACCCTTGACAGTCAACCACAAAGGGTTAAGATTGGGTAAAATACGAGGAATTTCAATGGCGAGAAACATTCAGTCACATATTACCAGTGATCATGAATACCATGATGATGACAAGATTAAATTCTTGTTCACATTGAAGCCATTCAACAACAACACATACTGATTGACTTAGTCAGTGAGTTAGTCTATTTTTGCACTGTCACGATAAAGCATGGAAGATGGTTGCTTACTTGCAAATGCTGCATTTATTTTCATCGCTTGGGGTGGAAGCATCCTCTAAAGGACCTGATGAGTTTAAGCTCTCGGTCGACACACTTTTCCGAAATTCAGTTTCATTCTCTTCACCTCCGCTATCCATGTTTGGTTCAGCCAGGATCACAAACGTTGAGACAAGTTGGAATAGGTGGTGGGTGTCTCAACTGGAGTCAATTTGGATCTGAAACATGAAAGTTCACATTAGGAATTTCACGATTAAGTAAGTAATATTGTCAATGACATTAGTAAAATCATTCACACAATCAGCATCTTAAATTCATGACCAAAGACATTCAATGTCTGTAAAATAGGGTTAAATTACTTGTAGATTTTATTACAGGGGCACTGGTTGGGGCGGATGGACCCACCCTCCCTATTTGGAAGTTAATTACTTGAGTATGGGGTGTGGGGTTTCTTGATTGGTGGACATATTTCAGCTCTAACACTCCTACACCTTTACATGACCTCTTTCAACAATTTTAACAACACTTAAGTGCTTTCTAAGTTTTGAGAGAGATGATGCCCCTATTTTATTTAAATTAAAGACTGCTTGTCATAAAAGATCAATCTTGTTCACATTAATTCTCATGAAAACATTCTCATTCTTAATTCTTCAATGCCAACTGAAATTCTGAATGCTCATGTCAGCCTGCTGAGTGGTGTCAGGGTTTGCGGGAAATAAAAAATATGAAAGATTGGAAATTTTCGTGGAATATCCACGAAATTTCACAAGACAGTGAAAACTTTCATATTTTTCAGGGGCTGGAGTATGCAAACCGTGCTCAAATACACGAAACACGAAGACAGTCACAATTTTACATTTTGCCAGACATGAAAAGAAACTAGTATTTTACAATATTTTTCATAAATTTTCGAAATTTCATGAAATACCTATTCCATGGGAAATTTCAAAATTTTATTTTCCATGAAAAATTGCAACCCTGAGTGGTGCTGATTAGAAACTGATGCCAGCTGTCTGAAATTGAATTGGCTCATGTGCAAACCTCTGATGTCGACTTTTCGGATTTTGAATTTTTCGACCCAATGTAATCTTCAAGAAAAGATGCATCCGCGTGCAGGCAGATTTGACCAGTTAAAGTTAGGGTTTGTATACCTCCTATTCGGGAGGCCCCAGCTCTCAAGACTGTGTAACTATTTATTTTCCTTACTTTCTGGAAGTGATCATTACACTGTTCGTAAAACAAAGAGATGGGGGAGCACTTTAACACACTTAAGGACTGCTCTTCTGTGCTAAGCAAGAACGTCGGAAATCCAAAAAAAATTTCCCGTGTTCTTTGGAACTTAACACTTTAAGAAATAAAAACTGTTTGACCCATGCACCTCAAATTTTCAGGTTAAGTTCTTGATAATATTTGCGATAGAATTCTGTGAAAACCTTGTCCCAAGGTACACATGTTTTTCCGCTATGATACGTTGCACCTAAAAATGTAAAATGACGTTTACAGCGTTTTTGTGTTGCACGGCAGTGCTACTATCTGGCTAAGATGGCCTGAGAACTTGATGACCAGAATCCAGTAAATTTGCTTATTATCATTGCCAAGTTCTTCCAGCAGATTTCTGGTTAACTTGCATCCCTTGAGTCTGAAAGCAGACTCAATAAATTACCTGGTCAATAACATCAGAAAGTGCTGGGTTCACACCATTTCACGGGGAAATCAAAGCCGAGAAATTCCAAAAATTACAGTTAAGGGGCTTTGAGGGCAAGGCGCATTCGTGCAGTTTTTGAAAAAAATTGAGCTATCAATGATTTCGAGTAATACTGGTCTCGATGCATGTGTTGTGAAAAATTCGCTCCCAAGTTCTCCTTCGCCAAGCACTAAAAAGTCAGTTTGAACTTTCTTTCCACCAAAAGGCTCCATGTAATTTCGAAACTTCAAACACTTATTTCTTGAAATCGCAAAAACTGCCCTTATGCGCCTTGTCGTCCTAGCCCCTCAATTACAGATAAAGAAATGTTTTAACTCTAATGAGTACTAGTACAAAACTGAGGGGGGAGAGTGTTCAGCTCAGGCAGTTTGCATTGGAATATTTGCAAACTGCCCGAGCTGAACACTCTCCTCCTCAGCTTTGTACTGGTACTCATTAGAGTCAATCTAATTGTAATTTTTCAGCATGATTTCCCTGCAAAACATTGTGGACCCAGCACCACTTCTCCACCTTGTTACATACAGTTTCCAGCCTTTTCTTGTTTTTTCTCGAAACGTCAGAAGTTTGCTAGCCTCAGTTGGCCAAGAAATTATCTTCTTTCCCCAATATGTGAAACATTTTAAACATCTAAAAATAGTGATTGGAAAAAGTTCCTGGGATAATAGAGAGAAAATTGCTAGGGAATGAAAAACAGTCAATCTTAGGCTAAATTCACTTAAACAAAGTATTGCGGATCCAATGAAAGTGTGCTCAATTGTGCAATCAATGAGTCTCAAGTTCATCATAGGGCTCTGACTAGGTACTGGCAAAGTAAAGACAATTAGGGCCCTTGATAAATTTTTAGGAGGGGCAATAGAAAATTTGCTGTCCTGACTTGGACAGTACTTGGAAACTAAATGCAATAATGGAAATTTCAGATCTTTTATTTCACCAATATGTACCCAAAAATTTTTCAAGAATCCATATTAAAAGATGAGTCGATGCTATATAAGTTTATACACATTTCGAGTAAGACAGAAGATCAGCTGCTTCCAGTTTGGCATTAAGCAAAAATAATTACAACTATCAAAATGGAGGATCTTCCGTCGAGCTCAAGGAGTGCAAAAACTTTTTTGGCATGGACTTGGAGGGGGTATAAGCCAAAGTTAGCAAACATGAATTTAGAATTTCATGATAGAGATATGCAGAAAATTGACAATCACTAAATAGTATGAAAAGATGTACCAATGAAAAATTAGGGCCACATGGGCAGTCTAGACGGGTAGAGGTAGGTTCAGCAAGTAACTATCTATTGTACCTACATGAGTGAGCGATGAGTAGGAAGCAAATTGTGGCCTCTAGAAACAGAAGTGCAGATGTGACAAGGAATATTGACAAGGAGGAGCCCATTCTTGGAGATGCCATAAAATTTGCACCATTTCAGGTACGGATTTCGCAATCCAGTGAACACCGTGAGGTTAGGAAAACGGGCCTACAGCAGGACAGGCTACAGATCCAGCAGGATGGAGGAAAAGTTGACACAGTTAACAGTGATTGGGTGAGATGTCAAACAAAATTGGGTCCCCATTACTGGGACTCGTCCGGAGACAGACATCTACCTACTTAAGGCGGCCAAGCATGCCTTCCTCTACCTGGGAGATCTAGAAACTAATCTGTCCTGAGAAAGAAATGAGTCTCATAAAGACTCTTAAATAGAAAAGATCAGCGGTTAGAGCTACTGAACAGAGGTGGAAAATGAGGAAAGCTTGATGAAAAAGGCAGAATCTAGACCAGACAAAATGTAGACAACTTCAATTTGGAGGTTAGATACTAGGTTTGGAGGAGTTGCGAATGAGGGTCGGAAAGCGTAGATGTAATACGAAATTAGGGATGCGGAGTGAACAATCGGGACTCTATCGAAAGGATTGACGAATTGCTGAAAAGAAGACAAGCTAATTCTCAATTCGGGCAGCAAGATAAAGTAATTAGGCTTACTTACCCAACGCAGGCTCAGGTTTTCATGCTCACAGTTAGTTGCAAATGAACTGGTTGGAATTTGTATCACAGAAAAAAATGTATATATAAATATATATAAATATGTGTATAAAAAAAATAAAAACAATTTCAAATAGATTAAAACAATATATTTCACTAGAGAGAAAGTAATTATTTCATTAATAATAAAGAGTGTAGTACAAATGGCGCGAAGTGTGGAGACTGGAGAAATATTTTTTGCGAGACAAATGTTGTCGAAAAGGAGGTAGACGCAATGGCGCTTTGCCGAGTGTAACTTGATGACGTCATCAAAAGCTCACAGCAAGGTAAAAGTAATGTAGAAATCTGATTGGTCCAGAGGGCCCGAGGCATGTAATTTACTTTTTTCTTATTGGAAGAACCTGGCTCGGACGATATGACGTAATACAATTTTTTCAAAACGACTCTAGCTTTATATCCTCTGCCTACAGCCTGCAAAATGTTAAATTTTATTTTGTCCGCGACTCGTTCCGAGCGCCCAAATCGCAGGAATTTTTTTCCGCGCCAAACTTATTAGTTGTATGGATCTAGTCTGGATTTGGCGCAATTTTGCTTGAAAAATGCGTTTTTCCCTTGTCAACGTGATTGCATTTTTCAGTTTTCAATAATGCTTGACGACTAATCCGATCTCTCTTTTTGTCTGAAAGATGAATTATAGCTGATGATTTTTTTACTCATTACAACAAAAGAGGCGAAAATTTAGGCGGAACGTGGGTGGAGGCCGGGCAGGGTCATTCATCAAGAGGGGTCCNTCTAAGCAAAGCAATTTTGAGCTGTTCTCGCGAATAAATTCACTGGAAAAAAAACCACATTAGATCTAGAGTCCAGACTTTTAAAAACATCGACAAGAAAAAATACTCTTGATTCAATCGGATTTTTGCTTAAATCAAGAACCAAGCCTCTTAATTTGATCGGATTTGATTTAAGCAAAAATCTGATTGAATCAAAGGTATTTTTTCTTGTCGATGTTTTTAAAAGTCTGGACTCAGATCCAATGTGTTTTTTTTTCAGTGTTGATCCGATTACAACTTCCAAAGTGAAATATATGTCAAGCACTTACCTACTTAGCGAAATCCCTAACATTTCTTGGGAGAGACCAAGTAGATTTCGGACGAGATATTTTATTGCCTCTTATCATATTCAGCGGCATTGCAAGTGGNGGGGGGGGGGGGGGGGGGTTGGAAGGGGTTCCAACGCTCAACAATTCCTTAAAGCGCGTATGTAAAAAAGATATTTTGTTCCAGCATTTTTCTCAAGTGGATAAATTAGCTGCCTTTCTGCCCGGAAATTTGTCTGAGAGTACTGAGTCAGATGAATTCCCTGGTAAAAATTGGCAGTAGAATCTGTGTTCCAAAATACCGTAGACCTACAGCCGGCTGTAAGATTTCCAATATAGCTTCTATAGCCGGCAACACAATTTCTCATAGCTCTTTATAGCCGATGGCGACGAAGCAACAGCCGGGCGATAAAGTGTATGCTAAACGTTAGTAATTACGGATGCTAGGACTTAGTGAGTTTTTGGACATCCCGCTCTATTTTTGGGCCGTAGTGTCTTGATTTAATTTGCGAGGAAAGCTCCATACTTTTGAAGGATGCCTGCCATTCCTAATATGTTGGAGCGCCTTCAGTTTCGTATGATACTGTGCAATACCTCTGGTGTGAAATAGTTGCTTCAAGCGCCGCGGTACGCTGCGGCGCGGCGCGGCTAGAGTCCCTTTATACTGAGAGTCAAGACAATTTGAATCCATTTCTGATTGGTTCCCGTATTTTAGGCCTCCACGGTGTCACAAACGGGAATAAAGATTACATTTTCACCAATTGCAAAGATTATAATCTGGAATGGACCAGGGAATTACGGGTTCGGCAAGGAACAAACGGAATGAGAGGAGGAACGGAGAAAGGCATTTGAGAATGGGACGATCAAAGATTACGAAAAACGTTCAATTTCTGTAATCTTTATTCCCGTTTGTGACATCCATGAGCCGAATTGTCTTGACTCTCAGTATAAAGGGACTCTAGGCGCGGCGGGCGGGCAGCCATCGCTGAACGCGCATTGGCGCCTACAAACCTAACAGGGATACTTCACGCATTGCGCAATGCGTAAAGTATCCCTGTTAGGTTTGTAGGCGCCAGTGCGCCGCTGCTCCGCTTTGTGTTAGGCTCTAATCTCGCGGAGTCAGCGATTTTCATATCATAACTTTGAAATGTTTGCACAGTGCACACTCTGTATGGATTATTCTCATTTTAATTGATGAAAAAAAAATAAGTAGTAAAGGAAAATCTAATGTGCGTTTTGTAAATATTAAGGTGATTCCGTATAAACTTAAGGATTTACAAAGCACAAGAATTTCTACACAATTCCTTATAGCCTTTTATAGCCGATGGCGAAAAAGCAACAGCCAGGCGATAAAGTGTGAAGCCCGGCGATAGGAACTATAGCCCGGCTGAATAATTTTTTATCGCTTCGTGAAGCCCGGCCGTATGATTTTTTCCACTTTCTACAGCCAGCCATATGATTTTCTATCGCTCTCTTCAGTCGGCTATAAGAACTCCTATGGTATTTTGAAACACAGCTCCTATCGCCAATTTTTACCAGGGTTATCCCACTGTACTCGGCAAAGTTTTACTTTGAAAGCCATTCACATATACTCTAGAGCGGTTACAAATTGTATTTCAAAATTTCCTGTTTCTTAATTTTCTTTGTGTTTCGACGAAAGTATCCGCTGAAAATTTTCAACGGTAAAGATGCACCCGTTAGAATGAAATAGAAATCAGTTTTCAGGCGAGACTGTACGCTAACCATCTTCAAACGGTAGCTTAATTCACCGCATATGGCGCTCGCAAAACTGTCAGGATTGCTGAGCTTTTGAGCAAGAGTACACGACTTGAACATGTATACGCCTCCGAATTGAAACGCAAATTGGAGATTTTTTACAGACAGTTAAAACCATTTTCTTACGGCGGATACTTGCCTTGATACAATTATTTCGACTCCCAGGTAGCTGAAATTGCATCGCATCGTAATGAAGGAGCACCCCTAAGTGCCTCCTCTGACTTACCTTTAAACAAGGGATACAGCAGATGAAAGATTTTTGTAACTTACAACCGTGCAGAAAAGCCCGATTGAGTTTCTTAGTGTATAACTAGTTAGGCAGCAGCCACCCGTCTTTTTTTTTTTTTTTTTTTTTTTTTTTTTTTTTTCGTCAAATTTTTGGGGTGGCTACCGCCACCTAGAATTTTGCGATTTCGAGTAAACCTTTTTTGTTTGAACATTTAAATTCAGATTAGGGAAGTCACGTGTCTATGGTTGGCTGCCACCTTTTTCTTCAGACCGCTTCCATTGCTGCCGAGTTTAGACTTTGTCTGGAGGTGGCTACCGCCACCCATGATGGACGAATGCTTATTGGGGTTGCAATTTTTCATGGAAGATAACATTTTGAAATTTCACGTGAAATATTTCATGAAATTTCAAAAATTTATGAAAAATATTGAAAAGTACCAGTTCTTTTCATATCTCGCAAAATGTAAAAATTGTGACTGTCTCCTATTTTTGTGTATCTGAGCGCAGGTTGCCTACTCCAACCCCTGAAAATTATGTAACTTTTCACAGTCTCGTGAAATTTCATGAAATATTTCACGGAAATTTCCAATCTTTCATATTTTTCATTTCACGCGTGCAACCCTGCGTACGACAACTGAAGTTTAATACCTGATCTAGAAGCGGAAAGAGTGACCTTCAGCTAGGTATTCACTTAGTCAGCAATTTTCCTCGATCTAGAAATGAGTTTTAATCGACACGAATAAGTCTTCGTTTACTTAACTAAACTCCTTCGGCCGTTCCTGGTGCCTTTCGATCATGCTGTATTTTGCTAGAACTGGGGAAAGGAAAGAATGCACAAACATCAGAGGATGGTCGGGGGAGAACGATGGGGAATTTTCGCTCTTGTGGAGGCGTTTTTCTCCCCTACTTTCAGCTCCGTCCTTCTACGAGAAATTCCAAGTTCCGCTTGCGCAAAAAGCACGAGAAACTCATGGAAAGTAATCATCATTCTACTTATTTCCTATTCATTAATTTCTTCTACATCGACGATGAAAGCCTGCAATCACGTATCTTGGAGGATTCGGTGTTTCAGAGGAGCGAAAAAAATACCTACATTCTTCATCTCCTGCATTCTAAAAAAAGAATAAGATATCAAATTGCGCAAAAAGAAAGAAAAAATTGAGCGTATTAACTTTGTCTCCCGCATCTGAGCGATACCTCATTAGAGTGGAGCATTGCGATTCACGCCTCGCGCCATCGCGCCTTCAATTTTGCAGATGCAACACGGACATCCATCGAGCACGAATAGTTGTATCCCTGCGCCGTTATCAACGCGCGTCCTTTCCCTTGCTTTATTCCATTTTGCGTTTGTTTTCGTTTATCTTATTTGTGGTGGTGCTTCCAGGGCTATGTGAGCAACACAGCTCATGATAGGAGAGACGTGATCAGACCTCGTTTTTTAACTTTTCTCCTGAATCCAAGCGACACCACATTGGCAGCATAGTGCGGAGCATTCTGCCGCGATAGAGAGGAGAGCAGTAAGTGCAAAAATGAAGTTTTGAGAATAAGGGCTCAGAGGCCTTTGACTATGGAATTTTATTGAGAGAAGCCTTGTGAGACTTTGTATAGATAAAGAAGGTAGAAAAATAGAAAAAAAAAATATAGAGAAAAAATATAAAAAAATTTCAAGACATACGGTGCACCAAATGAACTGCGTTAAGCAGATAGGAACCAAGCTACACCATCTATTGCCAAATTTAATCGGGCAATTTAATTTTTTTCATAAAAACGGTATTGTGCGGATTTTTGTGCAAATTTCAGTGAATTTTCTGCATAGTACAAAGGAAGTTTCATAAAATTTTCAAAGGAAACCGCACAAACGTTCTCTTGTAAAAAATTAAATTGCTCAATTAAATTTGGCAATAGCTGATGTAGCTTAGTTCCTTTTCCCGAAACGCGGTCCAAATAATAGAGAATGTGCACACAAAAATTTTATTGCTTCATCTGAGAGTGCCCAATGAGCTAAGTTCGCAGTATTTTCTATAATTCTTTACTGACATGGGAAATTGGAGAAAAATAGATTTAAAAGGAAAAAATGTGCCGCCTCATGACGTTACCTGGCGGCATTTTCCATTTAAACACATGGATT